TAATGCTTTAGCTGGCATTTGAAAGTATGGCCACTAGGTTCGAGCCTTGGTGGGGGGGGAAAATGCAGGTTCATCCAGCTGGTCTGGTGGACGAGTCCCAAATAGGACGAAATGCGCGTTATCCTGGACTGGATTCCCCAGTGCTAGTCACCATCATCCGCCAATTGAATTCTAATTACATGCGCAGGCATCGTCGAAGCATCTGCACAAGAAGCCGACAGACATGTCAACTTGAGACCGACAAGCACTTCGGTCCAATCAATCAGTCGACGGGAAAATTTAAAATTCAATTCAACAGTCAAACAACAAAATCCCTACAAAAATCAATGTGTGTAAAATAACAATTCTCATATAAAAGAATTACTTTAAGCTCAAAGGAGGATCAAACAGTTCTCATCATTCACATCTTGAGCTACACACATATCTTGTCTATTGTTTTGTTGACTTTGTGTTTCCTTTCTTAAGATTTAAAACTGACATGAGCTTTATTCACACACGTGACACCGACTGACTGACTGACTGACTAAGTAACTCACTTCAACTATAGCTCTCAAAAAAAGATATTTAATAATAATAATAATAGCTTTATTCCAAACAGTATTTGTGGTACATATATGGAATTTTCAGCGCGCATTACAATATTGCATCTAATTACCTCATAAATTTTATAAGATTTTAAAAACAAAAAGCAATAACAACAGGAAGAAAAAAAGGGGAATAAAAGAAATAAAAAAAAGAACAGCATTGCATTCATATATTTAAACAATGCATCACAGGAATATGAAATATAAAATTAGTGTGTAATAGAATATGTGAGCAACAATATAATAGTAACACAGAAAGGAAAACAAAAGCTAATGGGAACTATTTGTTAGAGTGCCGCAGTAAGTTGATCGTGTCATACCTAACGGATTTCTCATCACATAATAACAGCTGTGCCAGATAAGGTATTGTGGACTTTTTGTACTTGGTAGTCCTGGCATATAGCCTCCTAGAGCTGCTTCCAGTTCTACCAGATGAAATGCAAGGAGAGAGCTGCGTATAGAGAGGGTGTTCGGGGTCTGACAATATAGAATTCGCTAGTTTCTTACATGACATTATATGTCTATCCACAATGGTGTTAACCAGTCGGTTTAATGATATCCCACTTGCCCTACTAACAGCTTTTAGTGCCCTTCTCAGCAAAGCAAAGTCTTTCTTAAGTAGTCCAGGAAAGATTAATGGGGAGCAATAAAGAGGGATGGGTAGGAAACACAAGAATTGACAAACTGAGAAAGCAAAGACTGCTTTATACCAGACTACCTTAACTTCCTAACGTAGAACGTTAATCGAAACATCCGTATAGTAACTAGCAAGATGTGAGAGGACCAGGAAAGATCGGAGGAAATACTCAGTCCGAAATACTTGACATTAGATGTAATTTCAACCTCTATGCAGGTCAATGATAGTGGGACCATGTGAGCTAGCTAGTTGTTGTAGGTCACGTTTTCATCTGAAAGTGAAATTGACTACCTGACATTTAGACGGATTCAGCTTAAGACCGTTTGAAGAGGACCACTGACTAATTTCCGACAGAAAGTTATTTAGTATGGAACAGTCTGACTGAGAGTTGACAGGCATGGAGACAAAGAGGTCATCAGCATACTTGACAAAAGTGGCTACATCAGAATGGGGCAAGTCATGTAAGAAAAAAGAAAGTTTTGTTGTAAAAAATGGAACTTAGAACAGTGTGTCAATACTGAGAGAAAAAAGTGTAGTACAGCACAGATATTATAAAATGATGAAACTGTCTTATAATTACATATATGTCCAAACCAAGTTCACATTTAACAGTTTAAAAAAATTTGAGCATTGAGTGGTATATGATATTCATTATAATAAAGGTTGTTTTCTTGTATTACATAGATGTCCACTGTACACCAGTGAAATAATTAAGAGCTTGAAATTCTGTCTAGAAAGTAATTATTTTACATTTAAAGGGAGTTTATATAGACAGACAAATGGTGCTGCTATGAGTTCACCAGTCTCCCCCATAATAGTCGCTGATCTTTTCATGAATAGATTCGAAAATAACATCTTTTCAAGCATACTCACTCCTAAAATATGGTTAACATATGTAGATGATACTTTTGTAGCGCTAAAACGAGCCAGATCTACACAGTTCATTCCTGGAGAAAATAAACTGTGTATCTCCCAGAATCCAGTTTACTTCGGAAGCAGGCAGAATCAGACGTCGGTGAACTACCATTTCTAGACTGCCTCGCTAGTTAAGAGGAGGGAAAACGGACATTTTAGTATATCCATATTCAGGAAGAAAATCCACTCCAACAACAAATATTTAGACTTCAGATCATCACACCCCATCAGCGCAAAGCTATCAGTTGTTTCAAGTCTTCTTAGACGAACACACTCTGTGACTGGTGTTAACGGATGAGAAAGAAAAAGTGGAAGAAGAAATATCAAACATTACTGAAACTCTCCTCGAGCAAAACAACTACCCAACGAACTTCATCAACAAAATCAACACTGACATTAAGTATGGTCGAAAACGTATTCCGAAGACATGGATGGACCTCAACAGACGTCATTCCATATAGAGCAGAGACGTCAGACGATATCATCAGAAGAGTACTCAATCAGCTCGACATTAGAGTTTTCTTCAAAACATCAGACACGCACACTGCGAAACAACCTTGTCCATATAAAAGACCAAATCCCTAAAGATTCTCTATCTACTAATTGTGTCTATAAAATAAAATGCTTGCTTGGAATGTGATGCGATATACATCGGACAGACATCGCTAGACAGAAAACAAAATCAGAAGAAATGAACACCGCAGAGCCTCATCTGTCTGACCACCGAGAAATAAATAAATAAATAGCCAGTCGCGCTATGTCGTGAATTGGCAGAAGTTAGAACTCATGGGCTGGCTCGCCATTGGATCAGGTCCCATTGGCTTAATGGTCTACAAGCTCGCTTGCCTTGTAACCAGAACGTGGTCCTTGGTTCGAACCGCGGTTGGGTGGGTGCGTACTGATGAAGAGTCTCAACCTGGGACGAAACAGCTATCCAGTACTCCCTGCAGGTTTTCCAATGATTCTCTAACCAAATGATGTCAGCTCATGATGAAATCCTGTAACCAATGAACCAAATCCTTACAAACCGATACTTGAATAATTTCAGACGATTGGAAGTAACTGTCAGGAAACAGTTGACCCAGGTTTCGTGTTCGCTGGCAGTCATCAGTAGAGGATATCCAAAAATCTGGCGTAGTCTAATGACCTCTTGGTAGCGTCGAATTAGCATCACTTAATCCTGTAGTCTGAATGGCTATTATTATTATTGTTTCCTTTGATTCCTATAAGAACAAAGAGCTTCAGCCGTGCGTCTCCATTGCGTTCGGTTCTCTGCTAGAGTTTTCACCTGGCTCCAAGTCTGCCCACACGTTTTCATCTCCTCTTCGCATGCCCTCCTACGGTCGGTCGGTCGGTTTTCGACATAGAACTTTGCACATATGTGCGGCAGTTCAAGTCGCCACAATCCATGTAGCACGCAAAGTAAGAGAAGAAAGTACAAGAAATGCATAATATAGACAGTAAACAGAGGTGTGAGACTAAGGCACAGTAATAACGGAGAACAAAACAGTTTAATTGGAAATCATAAGTCTCAAGAAGTGGATGCATCTGCGCCAGCCACCCATTGAGAACGATTTTGAGCCATGTCACCTATTGTTTTCAACCATTGGTTTTTACCATCCCGAGGACCCCAACCAGGAAGTCTACATCTTCCCACGTGCCTTAGACTAACTGTTGTGGATTTCATTGACTGGTGCCATGTTTTCGTTTGACCACCGCTAGCTATTTTCCAGCTTGGCCCTATATCAGCTAACATTGCCCATTGTCGAGGAAGGCGATGACTAGGCATACGTGACACATGTCCTAACCATCTCAGTCGAATTAATTTCACCGTTTCGTCGATTGATTTCCCCTCCTTACCTAGCACCTCAATATTGCTCACCTTATTATACCACTTCACGCGGGAGATAGAACGCAGGCACGTATGATCGAAGACAGCTAATCTTTTCATGTCTTCTGCTTTCAATGGCCAGGTCTCACAGTCAGCCATAAAGGAGGACTGCTGAGCAGTACACCCGCCCTTTGGTCGATAGCCAGCAGGATATTACATCTACGCCAGAGACGGCGTTAACTGGCGTGTGCGAACCTAGCCTCTGTATTCGTGCTGAAATTTCTTCTGAGATCAACCTGTTTGGGCTGATGGTACTTCCCAAGTAAGTGAAGCGGTCAACGTGTTCTACCACTTCACTTCCTATTTCTAATCTAGGGGTCGGTGAAGTCCAATCCTGCAGCATCATCTTACATTTTACAGGGGCGAATCGCATATGACCTCCTACAAGTCACCCTTGCACTGACGACCGACTCGTCGCTTCCTTTTCGCGTTCCACTCGACCAATGGCCTGTCTAGTGATGTCACTTGATGGTTTCCTCAGAGTATGGTCAATCCATCTTCATTTATTCCTGTCTATTTGTTTCACAATCGGTTCCTGGTTGGTTCGCTCGCTCCTAGAGATCTCTGTTGCTGATCTTTTCTGGGTGGCCATCTGATCTTGAGTGGTATTGAGTGACGACAGCTGTTGATGAAGGTTTGTAGTTTGTTTGAGGTGCTCTTTATGACGCGCTGGCCAAGTCTGTGATTCGTATAGCAAGTAGCACTGACTGAATTCACATTGAAGTTGAAAATCCGGATCTTATTTTTGATGCTGAGTAGTGTTGAGTGTTGACCTCCACACAGACTTGAGGGTGGCTACTATCAAGCTATTCAGTGTTACACATGTGTCTATTTAAATGAATATCCTACGTGTGTGTTTTCGGTGTACAGCGCGTGTGTCAAGTACCTCATGATTATTATTATTATTATTCAACCTAATTCATTTTATTTTGATTTTTGGTTAACTTCCGTGTTGATATGATCTTCATTTTAGATGCCAAAGCCAGAGGATTTGTTCATGATCTGTTATACAAGCGGAAGCACAGGTTAGTTCACACTTTCTTTTGAGCCTTAACTCTTATGACGAACATTCATACCTTGAAAACTTTCTTTTATGTATACATATGTATTGCTTATCCGCATGTGTGATGGCGGTATATGATTTTTCTTTTGTCTGAAACTACCCGTAGAATTATTAATTTATCTAGAGAATGATTTTATGATATGAGATAGTTGCAGGCAATCGCCCCTGTAAAATGTAAGATGCTGCTACAGGACTGGACTACGTCTACCCCTAGCTTAGTGATACGGAGTGAAGTGATAGGAACATGTTGACCACTTCACCTATTTGGGAAGTTGTATCAGCACCAACGGATTGATTGGTGACGAAATCTCAGCACGGATCCAAAAAGCTCGAGCTGCTTTCGCTAACTTACACCGTCTCTGGCGTAGGCGTGACATCCGACTATCAAACAAGGGACGTGTGTACTCCTCAGCAGTTCGCTCCGTCCTTCTTGATGGCTCTGAAACATGGCCAACACGAGTTGAAGACATGAAAAGGTTGACTGTTTTCGATCATAGATGTCTACGATCTCTTTCTCACGTTAGGTGGTATAATAAGGTAAGTAATGTTGACGTTCGGCGTAGGGTGTTGGGCAAAGAGGGAAAATCAATCGAAGAGGCTATAAAGTTACATAGATTGAGATGGCTAGGTCACGTGCTGCGCATGCCTAACCATCGCCTCCCCCTCCTGACGGTCATTACTAGCTGATATAGGTGCAGGTTGGAAATGAGTAAGTGGTGTCATGCCAAACAAAAACATGGCATCAATCCATGAAATCCTTGACAGTTAAACTGAGTCAGGTAGGGAGGGAGATGCAGACTTCCGGGTTGGGGCCCGCCCTCAGGACTCTAAGAATCAATGGCTGGAGACAATAGGTGACATGGCTCAAAATCGTTGTCAATGGCTTACGCAGATGTGTTCAGTCTCTGTAATCTTTCATATTCCTTTCTACCATTACTCATTCTGTTTCACTCTTATACTTGTCAAAACTCTATTGATTCTCCTCACTCATCCATCTTCTTGTCTACCTTTGTATGCTATTTGGAACGTGGCAACTCGAACTGGTGCACTTCGGTGCCAAGTTCTATGTTGAATCCAGCCAATCGGCCAGAGGAAGCCTTGCCTAGACCTAGGTTTCGTGCTAGTCAACACTCACCAGTCAGTTAGCAAGGCGTATCTGCAACCACATTGAAGGAACAGCTCATGTCCCTTCTGAGATTCGAACCCGCGTCACTCAGTGCTGCAGTCTAAGACGTTACCACTGAGCCAGCTATTCTGGCTCGCGATTGACCTCCTGTAGGACTGTACTGGATATTTTGATTGGACACTAGTCAGTAACTAGTGTGACGTGTCTAGTCCTTTGTTTGGTGCAGACTGACGGACTACGCCTTGCTGACTGACCGGTGAGTGCCAACTAGCACAAAACCTAGGTCTAGGCAAGGCTTCCTCTACCGCCGATTGCCTCCAACTATCTAATATCATCATCAAATCAATGTGTGCACCGTGATGGCGAGCTAGCCACATAGCAAACCTGACTGACTTATTGAATTCAGTCTGCAGCAAAGAAGGGACTAGACACGTCGCACTAGTTACTGACTAGTGTCCAATTAGAATGATTTTAGTTAGTTTCTAGAGAGGTATTTTCGTTTAACCGTCTACTGAAGGAAGTTACGATAATCTGGTATCACTCAGTTGCCACCGATTCTTTGTTTTTATTGCTCCCTCAGCTTAATCTTTCCTGGGCTACACTTAAGAAAAACTTTGTTACATTGCGAAATTCACTAAAAACCGTCATTAGGGCGAGTGGGGTGTCGCTAAACCAACTTGTTAATAGTATTGTAGATAGACATTGAACTATGAAAGTAATTCATGAATTTATCTTGTTGAACCCTGAGCATTCTCTGCATACAAGCGTATTCGTTCAGTCACCATATAAACTGCCTATCATTTCACCTGTTTTAATTATTTAACCACTTACATCCTACCAAACTTATCTTGAGGAGAGAACCAGTTCCGTAACCAACTCCCTTTCCCCTTATTTCCCTCTAGAATTGCACAGTGTATACAGAGTTGCAGACTAAATAAAAATATCTGCGCACAAGTTCATGTAGTGATCATCTAATTATAATTGGATGATTACACCAATAAAACAAAAAGAAACTCTACTGGCTTAGTGAATTAAGCAGCCTGCTTGCTGTAGTAACAAAGAAACACCGAATATCAGAATCAAGTGGAATTTGTTTTGGGGCTAAACGAGATGGGCGTTTGTTTCAGGTGCACTTCAAGACACTGACTATATGAGAATCTCAGAAGGTGGGACATGAGCTGTTCTTTCAATGTGGTTGCAGATACCCCTTGCTGACTGACTGGTGAGTGTTGACTAGCACGAAACCTAGGTCTAGGCAAGGCTTCCTCTGGCCGATTGCCTCCAACTGTCTGAAAGGCGATGAAATTAAGTGCACAAAGATCCATAGAACATTCAGAGATTAGTTATACTGGACGATAGCCACTGTAGCAAAAACTATCGGCTTTCTTGAAGGATAACATTCACCTTTATAAGATGAAATTAAATAATACTTCAAAAACTTGATAGAAATTCTTCTAATAAACGTGAAGAAAGCCCAGAACGACTAATGTCTATCACGATGATAATATGACCTCATGCTTTAATTACTTTGAGGATTATTCCCAACAGGCCAAAATCAGAAGGTCCTGGGTTCGAACCCCGGTGGTTGCGTACTGTGAAGAGCTCCAAACTAGGATGAAACAGCTGTCCAGTACTCGCAGGTTTTCCAATGGTTCTCTAACTGATGTCAGCTCATGATGAAATCCTCCAACCAATCAAACAAAATCCCTACAAAACCAATACTTGAAAATTAATCTGATGCTCACTAGCGACTGGCCCTATGCAGGCAGTTAACCTGAGGGTCTAGTAGGAAGCCGTGACCAGTAGGGTACAGCAGGTTGAAGATGAGGCAGTAACTCATCGAAGAAGACATTGCGAAATGGTCGCGCTATGTCGTGAATTGGTAGAATTAAATTCAAGGACCATTGGATCAGGCCCCAGTGGCTCAATGTTCTACGAGCTCGTCCTTGTAACCAGAAGGTCCTGGGTTCGAACCCGTTTAATCATTACTTTGTCGGCCCATGATGAAATCCTCAATGCAATCAAACAAAATCCCTACAAATCCAATACTTGAAAATAATTAACAGTGATGGAACAGGATTGATTATTTATACGGAAGTTGGACAGAGAACGATAGAGTTGGGAAAACAGAAATCCTGGGTAAAAATAAAGTTTAACTAGTAGCAGTATAACAGTATGGTGGATTACTTAACAGCAATAGAAACGGGGAGCTTATTCGTTCAGTCACCATATAAACTGTCTATCAATTTCACCTGTTTTAATTATTTAACCACTTACATCCTACCAGACTTATCTTGCTTACTATTAGTGTCTACCAATTACGCCTTATGCCAATCGCGAGAAAAGATATCTCCAAATATTTAATGTCACTTACACTTCCTTGCCTTGTGTTATTCTGGTCCTACTGAGTTGAGAAGCACATCCTTAAAATAAATAACTTCAGTCGGTCACAACAATCAGACACATAGTTTATTCCATACAGAATGTATCCACTTCTCCATCCATAGACGGAGGGGGGGATAAATTCTCTTCGACTCCATTCTGGTTTTCTTAACAGGAGCATTTCGAAGGCGGAAATAAAAAAGACTCATAGAAGGTAGGAGGTATAAGTAATCCACAACGGGAAACTTACGGAATCCTTCGAAGAAGTGAAGACGGGAGTAAGACAAGCTGGCTGCCTACTATCGCCAATGATTTTCCTGATTGCAGTAGATTGGATAATGCGACAGACAGCGGCGGGCCGGTCAACGAGGAAACAGGCATAAAATGGACTCACACAAAAAACTTGGAGGATCTGGACTTCGCCGATGATATATGTCTGATTTCCCACAAACTGGAAGATATGCAAGCGAAAAGCAACAAGTTGGCAGAAGAAGCATCAAAGATAGGACTTCAGGTGAACATAGAGAAAACAGAGGTGATGAAGATTCCTGGACAAGAACAACAACAACAGACAACAATCAGCCAGCATAAATGGGAGGAACCTGAAAGAAACAACCTCTTTTACCTACCTGGGAAGCATCGTTTCAACTACAGGCGGATGGAACTGACGAGGATATCAAAGCAAGGAGCATCGGAAAAGCAAGACAAGCTTTCACTACTCTCAAGTCTGTGTGGAGGTCAACAGCATTCAGCATGAAAATAAGATCCGGATTTTCAACTCAAATGTGAAGTCAGTGCTATTATACGGATCAGAGACTTGGCACCAGCGCGTCATGAAGGGCACTTCGAACAAACTACACACCTTCATCAACAGCTGTCTTCGCTCAATACTGCTCAAGATCAGATGGCCAGAAAAGATCAGCAACAGGGATCTCTGCCAACCAGGAACCGATTGTGAAACAAATAGGCAGGAAGAAATGGAGATGGATTGGCTGGCCATACTCTGAGGAAACAAACCATCAAGTGACATCACTAGACAAGCCATTGCTCGAGTGGAACCCGATGAATGGGAAGCGGCGAGTTGGTCGTCCAGGGTGAGGGTGACTTGGAGGAGGTCATGTGAAGAGGAGATGAAAGCGTGTGGGCAGACTTGGAGCCAGGTGAAGACTCTAGCAGAGAACCGAACGCAATGGAGATGCACGGCTGAAGCCCTATGTTCCTCTAGGAATTAAAGGAAATAATAATAATATTATAGAATATGAATGAGTTGAAAAGCTTAATCAATGAAGAAATAACTCACCTTCGGCGGAACGAATGCATTTGCACCTAGTGCCTAAAATCAAAAAAAATTAAAATGTAGATTAGATGTGGGAATCAGAAACAAGGAGAGGTTACGTGTTGTCTAAACAACAACAAGTGTAATCGTTAAGCACTGACTGATGTGTGTGTGAAGA